TAAATTAAGATTTAATTAGAAATATTTTTAAATAATATCAAATTAAATATTATGTCGAAACTCGAGGAAGAAAATCAATGAGAAAAAAGGCTTTAAAAATGGTACATTATAGTAACAGCACAGTTCTCTAGAATAGGGTACATGATGGGGAAGAAGAGGTTATTAAACCACATTTTAGATCTACCTGCCTCACAAATTTAACAATAGAGAATGTTGAAGAACAATTGAATGAGGCCTATAACAAGATAAAAAAATCATTTGAAGAATTTTTACAAAATGGCTCGGGATGGACATTAGATAAAATTGAAAAATTAGAACTCTGCACAGCTCGATATCATCCCTTAGCCGCTAGTAGTTATATATACCCTCTTCCCAAAGAACTTGCCATGAAAAAAGCCATTTTAAACATTCAAAATGATGATCAAAAAATGTTTAGTGTGGTGCTTACTTGCACACAAATATGATCTTTCTAGAGAAAATAAACCAGAACCGAGTAAATCATTATAAACCCTATGAACATGAAATAAAATTAGGAAATATTGAATGCCCTGTTCCTATTACAAAAATATCATCTATTGAAAAACTAAATAATCTTAGAATAAATGTATTTGGATATGAAGAAAAAGAAGTCTTTCCCCTCTACATTTCAAACAGAAAAGAAACTGATTGTATTAATTTACTTTTAATCAGTGATGACAGTAAACAACATTATTGCTTAATAAGAAATATGTCCCGGTTATTAGGTAACCTCACAAAACACCACCCAAGCATGTTCTATTGCATGAGATGCTTGCATAGATTCACCCGTGAAAACCTGTTAGAAGAACATGCAAAATACTGTCAACATCAAAACATACAGAGAATTAAAATACCATCAGAAGAAGAAAAAATATTAGAATATACCAATTATCAATATGAAGAGTCTATTCCGTACATTATTTATGCTGATTTTGAAGCTTTAATTGAAAACAGACACTTGTACACCTGATGTAGCTACTGCGTCTTTTACAGAAAAAATACATCATAAAGCTTGCGGATATGCTTACATAATTGTAGGACCTGATGGGAAAAGCGTTAAACCTGTAACAGTATACAGAGGTCCAAATGCAGTAGACCATTTTATACAAAATATTTTACGTGAAGAGGAAATAGCGGAAAAATTATATAGTATTATACCTCTTTCCATGACATCTCAAGATGAACAAAATTTTAAAAATGCAACTCATTGCTACTTATGCAAAAAAAATTTGAACAATGATCGTGTAAAAGATCACGATCATCTTACGGAAAAGTATAGAGGAGCTCTGCACAATAAGTGCAATTTGAAATTTAAACTTCAAAAGAAAATTCCTGTCGTATTTCACAATTTAAAACACTATGATGCACATTTAATCATGCAAGGCATCGGCAAAATTCAAAACAGGGAGTTTCATGTTATACCTAATAATATGGAAAAATATATTTCTTTCAGTATTAAAAGAAAATGGAATAATCTAAGAATATCTTTAATTTTTATTGATAGTTTACAGTTTATGAACGCGTCTTTGGAAAAACTGGTATCTAACTTGCCTGAAGAAAAATTTAGGATTTTAAAAGAAAATTTTCCCAATGATCAAAACATAAAATTATTATTACGGAAGGGAATATATCCATATGAATACATCAACTCTTTTGATAAATTTAAAGATACTCAGTTACCATCCATAGAGAACTTTCGAAGTACTTTAACTGGTGAAAGTATATCTTCGGATGATTACATTCATGCTCAAACTGTTTGGCAAGCTTTTAATATTCAAAATTTAGGTGAATATCATGATTTATATTATACGTAAAAGTGATGTTTTACAATTAGCAGATGTGTTTGAAAATTTTAGACAGCTTTGTAAAACTTATTATAGTTTATATTGTGCGCATTTGATGACTGCACCTGGATTCGCTTGGCAAGCCTGCTTAAAAATGACTGATCAAGCTTTGGAATTATTAACGGATGTTAATATGCATTTATTTATAGAGCAGGGCATTCGTGGAGGTGTGTCCATGATTACCCAGCGTAAGTCTGTAGCAAATAATAAATATCTGAAAAATTTTGATTCAACTAAAGAAAGTAAATATATCTTATACCTTGATGCAAACAATCTCTACGGGTGGGCTATGAGTCAACCCTTACCCTATGGAAGTTTTGAGTGGGTTGAACCTCATAAGAATGTCATAGAAAAGATTTTGACTTTATCAGAAGACAGTTTGGATGGATACATCTTGGAAGTAGACCTCGAATACCCCAAAGAACTTCATAATGCCCATAACGATTACCCCTTAGCTCCAGAAAAAATGAAAATAATCTTTCACCTTATGCAGTCAGTATACTGAAAAATAAATTTATCTCGAATACTAAATTAGTTCCTAATTTAAATCCTAAATTTAATTATGTCATCTATCATAAAATTTACAGTTATATCTCTCTTTAGGTATGAAATTAATGCATGTTCACAAAATTATAAAATTTAAACAGAAAGCTTGGTTACAACCTTATATACAGTTTAATACAGATCAACGTAAAAATGCACAGACAGGATATGAGAAAGATTTTTTTAAACTAATGAACAATAGTGTGTACGGTAAAACTATGGAAAACGTGAGGAAACATGTTGATGTTCAATTAGTCAATACTGAAAAAAGAGCGAAAAAATTGGTAGCTGCACCAACCTTTCATAATTTCAGAATTTTTGATAACGATTTGGTTGGAGTACAAAGGTTGAAAAACTGTTAATTTAAACAAGCCCATTTATGTAGGATTTGTCATACTAGAACTTGGTAAATATCATATGTACAATTTTCATTACAATCATATCAAAAAACAATATGGAGAAAGAGCCAAGCTACTTTTTACTGACACAGACTCTCTCACGTACGAAATTTTAACAGAAGATGTATATCGAGATATGAGTTTTCATACGCATCTGTACGATATGTCAGATTATCCGAAGACTCATGTTTTATACAAAATCAATAATAAAAAGAAAATTGGATGCTTCAAAGATGAAATGAATTCCGAACCAATAATAGAGTTTATAGGACTGAGGGCGAAAATGTACTCTACTGTTGGATGAAAGTGAGAAGAAAACCGCGAAAGGAGTTAAACGAAGTGTCATTAAAAGGAAACTTAAACATAAAAATTATAGAGATTGTTTAGAGAAATCCATCTTCACCAGAGAATTACAATATAATATTCAGAGTAAGAACCATCATCTTTTTACCATGGCTATAAATAAAATCGCACTTTCAGCTTTTGATGATAAAAGATATATTTTAAAGGATGGAGTACACTCCTTAGTCTATGGGCATATCAATATAAATAATGTTTAATGGAACACAAAATGGATTATTTTTAATGTGGTCAATGACTTCACAGTAGAGTTATGGGAAGGGGCTGGCACCTGGGTATTCAAAAAAACCCCATGACTGAAACTGAAGAGAGACCCTCAGGTGTCAGAAAGCTGAGGCTTTCGATAAAAGCCCGTGTGTGTGTGTGTGTGTGTGTGTGTGAAATTTTAATGAGTATTATGTTATTCTTTCCAATATTTTTAACAGTTATTTCGTTCCAGAAAAGCAGATATTTTGTTTCAGGGTTCAATCCTATATTTTGAATAATAGAACATTTAAAAAAAAAGAAACTTCTAAAATAGATTATTTTCTTTTTTCGTCCCTAGAGGACGCCATGAATCCGTTGCCAAATTAAAAAACTAACTTTAAATGAAAAACAGGAGGTCTACAACTCAACCAGCAATCTAAAAACAACTCAACTCCACTCGAAACCACGCCTCCTAGTGTGATGACGTTGCCTTTGGCCCCGCCCTCTGTGATGTCATTGACCACGCCCCCTGACCCACTGACCCACCTGCCGCAGAACGCCCATCATCATGCTACTTCCCTTTATTTAAGACGTGCGATAAGACCTTCCTATCTGAAGAACTTTCGCGTACCAGGCTCGGCTTGACTTAGCCAAATCTTACTTAAGTCTCAGCATAGCATTATGCTTGAAAAAGGAAAGAAACGTACCTTCAAGTTTTACAAAAATTAAAACTAAAACTACATTAGCTGTTGGCTAATATAGGCGAAATCGGCTCGAGTTGCTGGTCCGCCCGAGCAAAAATGGCCTCGTTTTGGAGGACCTTACTTCTATTACAACCTAATTACTTACTATTACGTTGATTCTGCCTTACCTTATGAGATAGTGCCTATGTTAAATGAATAAGCAAGTATGTCATTGATATTCACTTATAGAAATCATAGTTTAGGTAGTCTCAGCATAGCATTCGCTTAAAAATTTAGCTTTAATTCTTCTAAAGCTATAAGTTTGAAGATCACTCTGCTTCATACTTGAATAAAATTTTTAGGATGTATAGTTACGACGTTTTGGGGAACGTTATGTCCGTTGCGACCTAATTACAGTTACTACCATGTTAATTCTGCACTACCTTACGAGAAGGTGTCCATTTTAAATGAATAAACTAGCATGTGGTTTGCGTGATTACGACAAAGCTTCAAGAGCTATTGGTCTAAGGGAAGGGATGCCTTCGTGAAGGACTTTCCAAGGTAAACTAGCTCGTATGCACGCTACACATAGGGAAAACTACGAAAACGCCCATGTAGCCAGCCCGTTTGTGGAATTCGAACCTCAGACCGAGGTACCAGTGTTCAGAGACTTAACTCCTGGGGAGCTCAAAATAAAAATCGGGTTCGGTTCCGTTATCATTGCAGCGATATTGAAATAAAAATCGAATTCTCCCACAAAACTTTATAAATTCTGCAGGCATGTTTGAAAAATACGCATTTTGAGTTTAGAAAACAGAGTCAGGACGGAAATGCCAGATTTCAGAGACCTTTAAGACTTTGAAATGTGGCATTTCGTATTTTTATGTATATTATATAGAAATGTAGACTGGAGAAGGCATTTACATAAACTTAGGATTAAGATATGAATGGAAGGAAAATCATCTTACACGATTGCGTCCATAGCCATGGAGAAGTTATCTTCATGAATCACTTCAGCTGGAAAGAAAAAAGCAGGTTTGTATTATCCAACAAAGATTAGTAAAATGAAGGTAAATTGATATTGAATCGAACTAACCTTTTGGATCTGGTTGTTGTTTTATATTCTCCGAAACAATAGAAAGTTGGTTGCTGAGTGTAGCAGATCGGCAAAAGAACTGAAATTTAAAAGAAATATGGTTGTGTATCAAGGGAATCGTGGTTAAGGTACTGTCGACAATTGTCTACCAATGTTGAAAGGAAAGATAGTAAACTAATGCTGTCAAATAGCACTAATTTGTTCTTCACCATGCTTTTAAAGATCATAAGTTTAATTTTACGATATACGGTCATAAGTTTATTACACGGCAACATCTGTACCTTCACTTAATTATAAGTACACATGCTGTATAAAATTTAAAAAGTAGAAAAGAATTAATTTGAACATCTCTGAGCGAAACGAAAGTTTGAGCTCAAGACATCACATACAGTTCATCTTGAACAACTATGAGCAGTATCCTTTGAAGGTGCTATAAATTTAGTAGGATTTCTTTTAATGTCGTAATTTTAGTTGCTGCAGTTTTTTCATTCATCATTGCTGCGAATAGATGTACTTATGCCTCAAGAGTTTAAATACAGCTAGCTTTCTTAACACTAGAAACGCCGTTGGGGTCATCTTGACCTTTTTTCCAATTTTACGCGTTTTTTTTTTAATATACAGCTGAGATTCGAAGCTGATATTTTTTCACTTTTTCTAAAGTGTTTCCAAGTATACTAAGCCAAATTTCATATTTCTACGTTAATTATTTAAACAAATAATCGCAGATATACCTAAAACAGCCAATTGGGGTCATTTTGACCCTCATAAGAAAAACGACACTAGGAGCACTAGGCCATTCAAAACTTTGTACAGATGATTTGTGGAACAAGAATTGAGGATCACCTGTGTTCAAAGAAATAATGTCACGCAATCAGTTCCGTGAAATAATGCGGTATCTCAGATTCAATGTCCGAAGCACCAGAGCCGATCGTCTAGCCACTAACAAATTTGCTTTCGCTTCTGTAACAAGCTAATGGAGAACTTATTTATGCTATAATCCTGGAACAGAAATAACCGTTAATGAACAATTGTTGCAAGATGTAAACCTTGTAAATCAAGATGTAGATTTATTCAGTATATGGCGAATAAACCGGACAAGTTTGGCATCAAATTCTGGCTAGCAACTGATGTAAAATCCAAATATGTTTTGAGTGGTTATCCTTATTTGGGCAAGGATGAAGAACGACCAACTAATTTACAACTTGGGGAAAGTGCAGTTCTCAAATTACTGCAACCACATCTAAACTCCGGACTCAGTGTCACAACTGACAATTTTTTTTACTTCTGTGAAAGTTGCAGATGAACTTTCTGCGAAATAAACCACAATTGTGCGGACGATGCTTCTGAATAAGCGAGAATTCCCCCCCCCCCATTGCTCGTGACACTTCTTCGGCACGATATTCAACTTTTGCACTGAAAAATGGAGACAAAACACTTACAATATATAGGTGCAAGAGCAGAAAGAATGTCGTGATTCTGAGCACGATGCACAATAATGCGTTTGTTGACGACAGCATAAAGAAAAAACCGAACACTGTCACTTACTACAACAGTACAAAATGTGGCGTTGATGTCGCAGATCAGATGCTGAAGAAATACAATACAAGTAGTGGAAGTCGCAGGCCTGTACATGTTTTTTACAACGTCCTTGACATTGCTGCTCTCGATGCTTGTATTTTATTGAAATAATCCTTGGGCACCTCTATTTCCTGTCGAGAATTTATTCTTGCACTCGTGAAAGAACTACGAGTTGGTGCACTACGCAATAGATGCCCCTCAATCGCTCAAATACAGACACTTAAACGAAAGAAATGTGCATTTTAAAGTTGCAAGGGCAAAACAAGACTTGTCAGCTGCGAGGGATGCCAGAAAACAATTTGTGGTAAATGTGTCATTGTCAAGCGTTCATATTGTATCACCTGCGATAATGTATAACAAACTTTGGAAAACATTACGTGTTTATTCCCAATTTATGTTTTTGTAAATTTTTGCATATGTTCCATTTTCCTCTTTTTGCATTTGTATCTTGTTTGTTTTTCAAAGATTTTGTTTTTGTTTTTGTAATCTTACATTGAAAGATATGTGCTAATTTTCGCTAATTGCACGAAAAAATTCTAAAGTATAAAAAGTAAATAAAAACCTAAAACCTCTTTTATGTGGTCATTTCAGCATCATTTCAATCATTTACTGTGTTTACTTGTATTTCTTATGAGGGTCAAATTGACCCCCAATGGCGGTTTCCGGTTAGTCTGAAATTCGGCTGTTCTAGTATTAAGAACTAAATTGCTTCTTTACAATAGTCTAATAAGATCCGTCTTGACTTATGCATCACAGATTTGGGCAATGACTACCATTTATGTAATGAAGCTCTGGAAAGTTTTGGGCGAAAGATTTTACGTTGCATTCTTCGTGGGATCCAAGTGAATGGATCATGGAGAATAATTTGGAACTCGAAAATTTACAAACAAGCCTGTGCTGTAAAATTCATCAAATTACAGAGACTTAAATGGGCTGTCAGCTGTCTACAAGGAATAGCGTTGCTGCAAAATGTTTGTGGCAAAGCCCATGGGAGATAGACCTCGGGCAGACCCTAGCTAAGATGGGTTGATTGTGTCGAGAAAGATAACATTTTAAAGGCTTACAGCTGGAAAACAGTCGCCGAAATTAGATTGGTGGAGGATTCAGACAGATTAATGAGACTATTTCGGATACTTATTAGCCGAGGAAGGCTAATAGTCTCGAATGGGTATTTTGCATCGAATGACTTAAATGCAGTGTACGACTTTTCAAATTGTTACCAGTAAACATTAACGCTTTGTATTATAAAGAAATTAAATAATGAAGAGTCTGTATCAATGCATACATGTTTTTCGCATTGTGAAAACACGATACCTAGAGCTATCCAATTTTGAGTAACAGTCCGGCACCGGAATATGGGAACTGCAAGCTCGAATCCTGAATTAGAGCATAATTACCCATTTCATATATTGTAAAATTAACAAATTTTCATTAAAAATTCAAAGATCTCACAGCGAGCAGCGACACACTGTAGGGAATAAAATATTTATATCCAGCGCTGCGAGACTATCCGAAATTCTAAGCACATCCTTTCGAAACGTATATGTATGTGCAATTGAAAAAATACCTCTTTGGGCGTAATATAAAATCTGAAAGCTCAGACTTATTAATCTGCTAGTTGGCTAAGTGACAAAGCGGAGACTTTACGGCTACCAAAGGTTGGTAGGAATTGTGTTCACACTCCTAATAGGAGTCTATTACAGCAAAAATAGATAGACGAGGGCAATTACATAAATGATACCTTAGAGACTATGATCTTTTCCTAGTACACATTCATTTTGGTCTTGCATGTCAACTAAGCAAATAAAATTTAAGCAACAATTCCCTCAGAAACAATTTTCACATTCTATAAGCTGTTTATATATTGCGGCGTATGCTACTGGCTGAGAAAAATTTTAACATACCATTATTACCGCGCCTGTTGTGTATTCGTACGTTCTGTACAAGGAAATTTCTCCAGATGCTGTTTACGAAGTACGGGAATTGAAAATTATACTTACACACAGACGTCCAATTACATAATGTGCTGCCAATTTTATATATCGAATTATTGAGGATGTTTCTGAAACGATTTTTGAGAGTTGATATTTGGAGTTTAGAATATTTAGTCAAAAGAATAATATTCAACATATATGTAATGTAGTCAAGACTACGTACACTTTGCACAAATACATGAGACGGTTCTGCGTATTACTTTCCTGTAGGCCGATTAGCGAAAATTAACTTGAATTTTTCAGGTCTCGAAAGCATGACTCAAGATATGCAATAGATTTATGTATAGGAATCTACTAACATGGGTATTTTTCCGAAATTATTTCATTGACTCTACGACTAAATATGCCTGAATATTTGACAAAATGTGGTGAAAAACTTAATTAGAAATTTAAAAACTCATCTTGGCGTCCTCTTTTTTTCAGTTTGTGCCGAGATGTAATCGTTTGGCAAGAATCTTGATTTATAATAACCCATTTTCTTCCCCTTTTACACTCTAAAAAAACAAACTCGATAAAAAGTAAATCGTTCATTCTTTCAAAAGAATTTGACAAAGTTCGCAAAGAACAGTTGGGGTCCGTATAACAAATAAGCCAATATATATTTCAAAACGGGCGAATATATTAATTCACGTACATCTTCCGAATTTTTGAACAAAAACTATTTTTGCAGATCTACCTGGAAGTAAGTCTACTCTAAGGTGATAATACTTTAAAGGTACTGTGATTAAGTTCTCATAAAGGAAGGAGAAACAAGATTAATATGGAGAAGGATGTCTCGAGAGCTTAAGATGAATAAACTTCCGAATACGTTTTCAATAGTTGTCAAGTTGAATTGTTTTAAAAATATTAACCTGTTGTCATTGTTTCAAACGCAGAATCGAGAGCCATAGAGCTCGCACGTAAAATGTAGCGATATTGGAATTTTTTGAAAAAAAAGATTTAGGTTTCTCTTGTGGATTGTATGTAGCCTTTTATTTTGAGACGTTTAATAAAATTTCCATGCGGTGTCCCATCATTTGAGTTCAACACCACACCGTTGAAGCATTAACATCAACACCACAAATTCAAAACGTTTTTCGAAAAATTTAAAAATTACCAACACAAATTTCTTAAATAAATCAAATTATCTTCGAATTTTACTTTGATTGAACGTAAATTTCGAACTAAAAAAGGAATCAATTAAGTTTAAAAATGTATACTAACCACTTAACATTCAGGAAGAAAAATTTAAAAGTACTCGCGAGATTTTTACAAATCTTGGCACTTATATAATTGGCATAGAGTCATAAAATCAGTATACTAAAAAAAATCTATGCCAGTCAAGAAAAAGGTCCGATTTTGTGTCAAAGTAACTGCAGGAACAATGCTATATATAAATCCAATACATCTCCCAAGTTGCCCTTTCTGGACATGAAAAATGCACAAATTAACTTTAATTCGGCGCGGCAGAACGGGAGATACACACCTCTCTCATTTCTTTGGAAGAGAGGCAGAATACAGTGTTAGA